CTCCCCAATGCACCAACGATATTCACTTTCCAATCGAACAAGATACTGAAGTCGAAAATCGAAGCATTATTTCGACTACTTATCGTGTACACAGACAAAAAAAAATAAATAAACACACATCATTGTAAAATCAATACATTCATCGTGTTTCACTCAGAATCTAAAAAAAAAGAAACTGTTTCCAACATTTGCAAACCAAACTTCTTCGATCTAAAAAACAGCCTTACACCACATCGTGAAATATATGTAGATGCATCCAAAAACACAGAAGAAACTGCAATCGCAATAATCCAGCCAAACTCCCAACCAGCATTTCAGCTCCCATCATATAACTCAATTTATACAGCAGAATATCTAGCTCTTTTAAAAGCCACAGAATTGGTTGCCTCCCCAGATATTTAATGTACAACCATATACACTGACTCTCTCAGAGCTCTCAAAAACTTAGAAAATCTCAAAAAAACAACCCTATATGCACCCAAATATTGAACATTCTATTTATAACCAAAAAAGACATCAGATTCCTATGGGTACCTGGACACAATCATATACCTGGAAATGAAATTGCAGACGAAACAGCCTAAAAAGGCAACCATAAAACCGACTGATTTCTGGAATATAACAACCCACTTCGATATACAACACCAAATAAACACTAACCTAAATCAAATATGCCATCAAGAATGGTGATTAGTACAAAATAACAAACTAAGAGAAATTAAATCATCCACCCTCCCTCGGATGCACAATACGTCACTCCCACGCAGACATCAAGTCATACTCAATAGATTACGAATTGGCCACACATTATACACTTATGAACATTTAATGAGCAAAAAGGAACAACGTATATGCACCTCTTGCAACACCACGACTACTGTTAAACAAGTATTAACCGAATGCATCCTCAGACAACTGAAAGAGACAAACTGATGCTCCCCAACAATCTTTGTAAAATACTAGCGCCAAACATAGAGAGAACATCGTCACTTCTAGAACTTCTCAAAGAGATGAACCTTCTTCAAAAAATATAGCACGAACACTTAGATTTATCACAATATACAATTTATATATTATCCTAAAACTTATTGTATCATATTATATTTAAATGCTTATAAAAAAAATTGTGACTGGTTTTTTAATATTTTAGTAAGCTTGTACTAAATATTCAAACTTCTTTATCCAACAAGTACATTTGTATTGATATTTATAGAATAAAAAAATAAAAAAGGTAGGAAACTGAAAATGTCCGTAAACAGCTCAAAATAAGTCAAAATATTGTAGTGTATTGAAAATGCTAATATGAACATTCAGTCAAATTTGCATGTATTTACGGTCATTTGTTTTAGAGTTACACCAAAAACCAAAATTGATTTTGCCCAAAAATTCCCGTTTTTCCTTAATTTTTCTTTTGTTTTTCACGGAGCTTTTGAAAACTACTGGAAAATGTTTACTTTTGCCCCCCCCCCCCCCCAATTATCAACTTAATTCACTTTCCTATCAGAAATAATACTGCTGAAGAAAATCAAACACTTTTTTCGTTTTATTGTTATCTATAGGGCTATAGGTTATAACTTATATTATATGTTTAGTATAAAAACTGTGAATTGGTATTATGTGGCTTACAGAATATCGACAATATTTATTTTATGATAAACTCCCTAATAATAAAGAAATTAAACATTTCCACCACGTCCCACTAGATTACTCCTTCATTTTAATTGCATTTTCCTCTTCAAATTATTTATCTAACTCCCCTATTGTTAGTCTTATGCGGATTCCTAATGAAGAGCCCTTCAATTATCCAAAGAGCCTTCAATTATCCTTAAATATATTTTTCAACTGGGTCTTTGCTAGTATTATTTTAAACATTGATACTTTTAGTTGTTATTGGTAGATTTAATTTTACTATCTTGTTACTACTTAACATTAAATTTATTGTTCATACCTATTACCTATATTATATATCATTTGTTTTGGGCCCAGGTCTGTATCTTATTAAAAATTAAATTAAAATAAAATACAATTATACACAAATATAATGAGTACTACCTATTATATTAGTATTTATTATTAAGTTATAAACAATACAATTTGTAATTAATAGTTAAAAGGTAGGAGGGATACCGCTTTGCTGTAGGTACATTAGATGCCATGTGGTTGGAAACTGTAAGGATAAGTTAAATTTTAATTCAATCATATAAAATCATTGCATTCAAAAAAAGTTTGTGAGAAATATCTTACTCGAGATCTTACTAATATATATAGGTATATATAAATATTTTATGATATTATTTCTATTAAAGTAATTTATTTTACTTAGTAATACATTAATACAGTAGGTTAAGTTAATTTTTGCCAAAAAAATGTATTTTTAAATCGTTTATAACTAAAATCGTTATTCAGCATTTATAATATATTGTTCAAATTTGAACCTAAAATGTCTATGAAAAAAAAACTATGATTATATATTTTTAGGTTTTTTGATTACAGTATGATCTACTTAAGAGAAACCTTGTTTTAAATTTTCAATCCTTGCTTTATCTATATATAAATGAATGTCTGCCTGTCTATCTGTCTGTATGTCTGTGGGTCCATATTACCATGGAAACCATTTATATATTATTTTGAGATTTTCGATGGAATTTTTTGTATATAAATGGTTTCCATTTACCATGGTAATATTTAAAACATATTATTCATATAGAGTTGGCATTTTTAATGGGCAACGGGATCAAATATTTATATAATATATAATATATAATAAATATATCGTATACAATATATATATACTGTATAGATAGATTAGACCTCTGGGCAGAATATAGGCTAATTTAAAAAGGGATAGGACTAACCCCGGGTGGTGCTCAAACAGGGATTTTTACATTTCCGATGAAAAATTTTGTTTATAAATGGTTGCAAAGGGTTTTGAACGAGGTTTTGAAGCCATTATAATAATTATTATTATAGTTTTCCTATAATATGTAGATAATATATTTATTTATTAACTGAAATATTTCTAACTATATTTATACAAATTAGGTTTACAAATCTAAAACGTAACACATAATACTTAAATGGGTAACGGTACGGAACTATGAGATATGAAAATGTGATGGGGACATGAGTTAGGAAAAAACTCGCACCACTACCACGCTAAAATATAAGCTTGAAGATTAATGACAATGCGCACGGGGAGGATATCCCTCGCTTTCTTAGTTTTACGAAAGCTAATCGAGACAAACGTAAACAATGGAGAAACCGGCAAACTACTATTTTGATTATTGAACTATGTCTGATTTCGGATAACAACGAGGATAACAACAACAAATGAAATCAACAGAAAATTTAAAATGCAATACGTATGCACAGTGGCGTAGCCAGGATTATGAAATGGGGAGAGGGGTTTTAAGTGTAATTTAAACAAACTTTTTTTTGTCAATGAAGTGTGAGGGGGGGGGGGGTTAAACACCCAAACCCCCCTGGCTACGAGTCTGGGTACGCGTGTCACGAGAGTGTCATCAGTCATCACTGCCTCAGATCACATCCCATGGACATCGTGAACTGCATAATATCTAATAATACAATCAGTGGACAACTTCTCCCCTTAGATCACCACTCACCAAGCTATTACATACATCAGTGGTACCTACTTATTATACTACATTGAATATTGTACATACTAGGGGGGAAAAGTTTTGTAATTTTTAGTAATTAATAAATGTAGTCAAATTACATCTATAGGTACATTTGTTGTGGATAAGTAATGCAATTTTAATTTTAATTTTAATAGAGGGGGCACTGGTTATAATTTTGACCAAAAAATGAATAGTATGTTTAAAGACTATCATTTATACATTATACCGCTTGGGTGGGTGAAATTGTTTTTACCTGCGAACGTTTTTATAAATATAGTTCATCATCAATTATTTTGAATTATTAATTGTAAATTTTAAATTGTAAGAACTGTGCCTATAGCACAATTAAAATAGAAATATTTATTTTGTTACATGCCGTGACCCCATTAAAATGTTGAGAAAAGATCTTTTTGAAAACTATTTTAGGTACTAGGTTATGAAGGCAAAATAATTTATGTTTTGAACTGTATAATATAATATGTGTAAAAAATAAAAATAGGTACTTTCATGGTTTTTAAAAAAAGGTTAACTTTTTTAAAGCCTCATTGAATACATAATTCAAAAATGTATATCTCACCTAGAAAAGAAGGGAGTAAAGCAAGAAGTACGTAAACTAATCTACCGCTTATTGGTGTGCTCCAACCTCATTGTTATGATTTTTTCCGGTTCCGGCAATGATTATAAAATAATAGGTACAGCTCGAGGTACATCCAAAGAAACATGCATCTCGAATTGTCAATATATCATTAAAAAATTTTATTCATTAATTTAGAAAAAAAAAATTACTTAGGGCCGTTCTTACAATGTCCGGTAAAGTGTCGGTTAACGCTAACCGACTGATAACAGATTTTATTACCGGCAGAATTCGGCCGGTTAAGTGTCGGTTAACTTTAACCGGACATTGTAAGAACGGCCCTTAATATTATCTTAATAATAATTTTTATCAGAGTAGTGGACAAACGACCGTCAATATTGGAATTATGATTGACAATATTGTTTTAAAATACGTTATATCAATAAAAATAATACATAATATCAAACAACGAGTTGGTTGCTTACCTTCGAAGGCAGACGGATCAGCGGGTTGTGGGTGAATGACCGGCTCGCGTAGGTACCGGAAAATGTTCAAAGTGCACGATCGGAAAAAAGTCTTTCTAAACGGACACTGACGCATCACTCGAACTCACACACGCAAGGAAAGGCAATAGTACAAGACACACAAGGAAACGATCAATAGTCAAACACACCAATTAATGTAAACACGAACAATTATATTTTATAAATACACACACACTAGAAAGCAACAACAAAAAAATTCGATCGCAGCGTATCGCGAGAGTCGACGCGGACGGCACTTCGTCACTAGCAGCACTGACAATGTTCAAAGACAGCTGTTGGCAAGCCAATGCCAATGTTAACGACAAAAACGATTGGGTACGACGGGGGACGTTCGCGCTCTACGCTACAGTGACGCTGCTGGTCCAACGGTGGCCGACGCGAGGCCCGAGCTGCTGCGAACGACGCGCCCGCTGGTGTGGAGCACGGGTATTGGTTACCATGGTTACAAGACGACCTATATTGGATCACAGCGGCAACAGCAGGCTGCTGTTGAGCGGCACCGAATGTTCTTATGAAATCTGACAACAAGTCGCGTCCTACTAGCGGCATCTACAGCCACTACAGTACCTGCTGACTGGCTTACCCAGCCACTGTGGAGCGCTAGTACGACGTGACTGTTTCTGTAGGTATATTATAATATTATGTAACTTGATGAGAACATTTTGCGCGCCGTTGTAGTATAATTATTGCTCGTTGTGCAACCATAGTATGTGGTGGGGAGTGTGAACCAGCTACAACAGTTCCGACGATCACATGATCACGGTATGACGCGACGTAGCGGCAGCACCAGATTTTTTTGCCTGGGTAGGCCAAGCTGTGGCCACTGATTTAAAAGGAGGGCCAGAGGCGTAACGAAATTCGCCTTACCTATCGGAAGGGCAGGTTAATAAAAAATTAATTTCACTATCGAGTGTAAACCAGCTAATTTTTAAAACTTCAATAACCCTCTTCTTCTTCGATATGTTACTGAGTGAAGCCATAATATATCCACCAATTTGTAACACTTCTTGAGGAAAATATAACATACATTTTCAAGATGATAATATTACATCATACAGAGTGGGCCAGCCGTGTGCCGAGCATAAGTGGAAATTTGGTGAAATTACTGAGGGGGATCGGGGGGGGGGGGGGGGGGGCTGAGCGTTATATTATGTTCATTACACCTATAGGTACCACTGTACTAGAGCCGCTCGCAATTATTTATTTCAACAAGACAATTTACAAAGTTCGACAAACTAAACAATTTGACCATAATTAAGTACAAAAAAAATTATGTGCCCTACCTTTAACATTTTAGAAGTATTCTAAATAAAAATGATTAAGTTATTCATTTTTAATTTAGAATTATAACCAATGGCAGATTTAAGGGTTCAAAATAACGTCAGTAAATCCATATGAGGTGCCTAGTACAAAACGTATAAGTCACATATTTACCCCCATTTTACTAAACCACTTGCTTCGCTCGCTAGAAATAATGAACATCCAATATAAATTCTATAGGAAAAAAATCATCTAATTATAATAAGTTTACTGTGTGTCTATGTAAAATGTAGATAGGTAATAATTTATTAAAATTTAGTTTTACAAAAAAACATTTTAAAATATAAACAAAAGTGTGAAGCTATAAAATTATTCATTATAATATTATAACATTAAAAATATCAAATAATTTCTTAGACATAATAATTAATTCATTAAAAAAAGGGTATCACTTGTAAAATGTAAAGCACTCAAATACTCAATGCGATATGCGACGAAAAACAAAAATACTTAAGGGGGCTGCAGTACACGTATTTTTCATACGTTTTAGACCAAAGTGGTGGTAAATTACACATACTTCGGAATGAGGTGCGTGACGCTGGCACCCGCAAGTTTGAAATTCAACTCAAAAATCACATCAGTAATTGTTATACAATTTGTACAAATTTGTAACCACAATTCCAAAATTTGTACACCCCCCCGTCGCCCGTAAAATCCAAAAACGATTTCCTGGTGCCAGCATCACGTGACGCTGGCACCCGGATTTCGATGTATTTGGCCTATCGACCCAAAAACCACATCAGTAATTGTTATACAATTTGTACAAATTTGTAACCCCAATTACAAAATTTGACACCCCCCGGTCGCCCGTAAAATCCAAAAACAATTTCCGGGTGCCAGCATCACGTGACGCGAATATATAGAAATAATGCTTAGATTTTCAACTTCTATATCTTGTTCGATGGGAAAGTGAATATTGTTGGTGCATTGGGCAGGTCAAAATTCCCAATAGCTTTCAAAAGCGAGGGGAAAAACAGCATAAAAATTAAGGAAAAATGGGAATTTTTACGGAAAAACGGTTTTCCACAAAATTGATATTGGTTTTTGGTCTAACTCTAAAACAAATGAAATTTTCACTGGTCGTTTATATTTGCATTTTCTATACACGATAAAATGTTGAAAATATTTTGACTGTTTTTGGGCTGTTTACTTTTTTTTTCTATAATTATCAATAAAATTGTATTTGTTGGGTAAAAAAGCGTGAACATTTAATGCAACGCTCCTGATATATTGTTACAATAGCAGTTTAAAAACACATGTGCACAATTTTTTTTTATAAGCATTTAAAGTTCAAATTTTGACAAAATTTAATAGTTATTTTGTAGTTAAACATTTATAAAATGTTTAACTATTATAATAGTTATATATTAGCTAAGGATTGAACATTTAAAACAGGGTTCCACGTAAATAGGTAAATGTTATATTTAAGATATACCTAGGTAGGTACCTACATAATTAATATAATTTTTGCATAAAAATAAGAAAGATGGTAAAAGTTATAGGTACCTATTTAATTATAATTATATTATTCAGTACCTACATTTAATGGGCGCCCGGGAATTGGGCCACAATTCACCTTTTTTTTACATAGGTATATAGTAATTGGGCCACCAAAATTTTATATTATTTTATTAAAGGTAGGCCCGGTAATTGGGCCACTAAAATTTTATATTTATAATAGGAAGACCCAGTGATTGGGCCACTATTACATTTTAAATTGTAATAAAATAATATTGAAGTCAGATGGTTTGGTTAGGATGTCAGAGCACTATTTGTTTACTCTAAGATTACTTAAAATCATAAAAAAAAGTATTCTGCGTAAATGCGTTTTGTCTATGTTGCGCGTATACATATTTTTATATAAATTGATACAATTCCTAATACTGCAGCGCACACGAAACTTTACTCGAAGCGACTGCGTATGCCTTATCAAAAGGTAATAAATTATACAATATCTTATGAATTATGATGTAGAATTATCAATTGTCATCAAATGAAATGGATAAAAATAGTCATACGCGTATAGTGTGCAAAGATTATGAAACATTGAAAATTGTGATCGTTTATAGTTGATTATACTATACGATCGACATCTAGTAGTACACGCGTGGTTCGTACTTCGTAATATAAAGTATAGGTGCAATGGAAGTGTTAATGTCCGAAAGAGGAAAAAATTTATTAATTTTTAATAATTATAAATTTTCTTTTGCTCATGAGAGTCAATGTGGCAAAACTCGTTGGCGATGTGCCAAGAAAACATGTCCAGCCAAAATGTATACAATTTCAAATAATATACAAATGGGTACATACTCGAACTACAAATGCCGTCGAGTCTTTTCATTCACATTTCAAAAATAATTTCTATATGTCACATCCAAATATACATAATTTTTTAAATGTTTTATTGCAACTTCAATCAGAAGTTTATATTAAGATTAAAAGTATAGGAACAATAAAAACAAGAAAAGGAACTTTAGTTCGACAACATTTTATTCTTAATGAAATTAAAAATATGAAGAAGGGGAAAAAACCCGATTTGAATAATATGTACAATCTGTATCATGATTCATGATATTTAATAAAAAAAAATTATTATATTAGAAAAAAATTATTTATATTTATATAATATTTATATATTTATTTATATTTGTAAAATGAGTATTGGCATTATTTATAAAAATTATTTATTATTATTTATTATTGGACTGACTTTATAGATCGAAATGTCTTGTATTATAATTTTATGTAGGTACCTATTAGAAAATTTTTTTTCATATTATTTATTTTTTGACTAACTTTATGGTCCTTGTTGTATATTAAATTAGTTAAATCTGTATGGAAGTATTTAAAAAAATATATTAATTATTTGACGAATTGTATTTTTATATGTTAAAACAATAATAATTAGTTAATAAACATTATTATATATTCGTATTAATAGTATATTTGTGTGCTATACTTTTATGGCCCAATCTCCGGGTACACTTTAAAAATATAGATTTAATTTGTGGCCCAATCTCCGGGTAGTAAAATGTAAACAAATATTTTATTCGAATCAGGTAGGTAGTTAAAATTTGGATCAATTAACGGGCGCCCCATTTAATAACATTAATTTAAAACAAAAAACATAAGATAGTAGGAATGCAATAAAAGGTTTAATTACGATTATAAATCGTTTTTGGATTTTACGGGGGACTGGGGGGTGTACAAATTTTGGAATTGTGGTTACAAATTTGTACAAATTGTATAACAATTACTGATGTGGTTTTTGGGTCGATAGGCCAAATACATAGAAATCCGGGTGCCAGCATCACGTAACGCTGGCACCCGGAAATTGTTTTTGGATTTTACGGGCGACCGGGGGGTGTACAAATTTTGTAATTGGGGTTACAAATTTGTACAAATTGTATAACAATTACTGATGTGGTTTTTGAGTTGAAATTCAAACTTGCGGGTGCCAGCGTCACGCACCTTTCGGAATGTCCGATTTAAATTTTTTATACATGTTTGAATTCATTGATAAAATATCTAGGCTTCTTAGGAAGAGGATTTTCAATTTTCAATTTAAAATGACCTTAAAATAACCATTTTTTTTTTTAGAAATCCCATGAAATAATTGCATTACATTTGTATTTATTTTGGGCACATCTGATTTTAAATAAAAAAAAGTGATTCCTAAGCGAAGCATAGTCTAGAAGTTTATAAATTCAACCATTTTTTCGAAATTACAATCGAAGTTCGGGAAGTATGATTAATTTACTACCGCCTTTAGTAGTTTTATAGTCATGCAAACAAGAATATATTTCACTTTACTCGATATATTGACATGTGCGTGCGCGTGTGAGAGTGGCTTCCAGCGCGGTTGCCCGCCTCAATTCTCGGAAACGATAACGGATTACGCGCACTAATGTTCATTTACTCACAGATAGATGCAGTATTAATTTATATGTCACATGAATTGCCTAAATAGTACTCCTTAAAATATGCTACGGTACAGCCCCCTTAAAAATTGATCAATTATTATGATTTTAGTGATATTGAGGCCGGGCCTAAAGGAGTATTCCGCAGCTTCTTCCATCTAATTAAACACCGTGTATGGCTCCGGCCAGATAGTAAAAACTTTCATAATTAGTGTAAAATAGCATTTTAATTAGAGCTGTGAATGCTGTAAATTTACCAGGTAAATTTTTACCGGTAAAATAATTTACCGTCAATTTTCCAATTTTTTT